TAATGACCATCTCTGGATGGTGGAAGTATGAGGAATTAAATTTTAAATAAACCTCCATACTTATGTGTATTTTACTTTTGTGCATTTTACAGGTTTTGCTACAAAGAATTTGCATTACTTTGACAAACTGATGAAACCATATATTTTCCCTAGCTTAGAGTAGTTTCCCCTGAGGAGTTTCTTATCTGACTTGGTTTCAAAGCATCTGTAAGGAAATTAGTAGGAATATGCTGCCTAGAAAACGTGACCCGAAAACAGAAATGGAAAATTCCCAAAGATCTGCAGTGCACGGGAGAGGGCGGCAAATGGCAACAGTGACAAGCTTGTTCCAGGCTTACCTGGTGAGGCCACTGTAGCCTCAGCCTACCCAGTGTCCACTCTGAGAACTGTGGAAACATGACCCTTCGGCAGCTGGCATTTTTCGGGCCAAGGCGGAGGGAACGGGGCAATCGCAGGCCTGGATTCCAAGCTGTCCAGAGCTGTGAAGTTACCGCGGGGTCTCCCCTCCTCAGAGCACACTGGCAGTGGAAGCATTCCGAGTCTGCACCTCACACCGCTGGTGGGGCCGTGAGGAGGTAAAGTCAAAAGTGGGGAGGGCTCTGGTGGCCAGGCCACTTGGTGTCAGGTCACTCCCCCTCTCGTGGCCATCCTGCACCAGTGGTGGCAGTGGGAATGGAATGGAATGAAGACAGCTGAGATGTTTAGATGGTAAAAGCAACAGGATATCTATCTTCTGGCTTGAGGGACGGGATGAGGGGTAGCAACCATCCCTGTGAAAGGGCCCAGGGGAGGAGGAACAGGTTTGACCTGGAAAATGGCCTTTCCCTCCAGGTAGGCTGTGTTTTGGGACTTTGCAGGACATCTAGGGGAGCTGCCCAGCAGCATGCAGCTGCTGCTCTAGCCTGAAGCTCAGAGACCAAGATGTGGGAGTGAGCGGAGCATGCAATGGGCCTCCGGGACCACACCCCAGGGACCCCAACATTTAAGAGGGGAGGGGAGGGGAGGGCAAGAAGCCCCTCGAGAGGTAGAAGGGATCTGGAAGAGTGGGGTGTTCCAGAATGTCAGGGGACCAAGCATTATAGGGAAGGGGCCCTGGCCGGCAGGCTGAACAATCCAGGAGATGAAGAGGCCGAGCCGAGAGGCGGTGGCGGCATCTGATCAGGAAGTGCGGAGCGCTAGCGACTCCTCCAAGAAGAGACTGGAGGCGGAGGGCTGAGGGTGCTGCCAGCTGCCTATCCATTACCTGCTTCCCCAGACCATCTTTTGAAGGGTGCGGTCTCAGCCACAGAGGTTAGAGAAACTGAACACTAGCTTTCCAAGCGCCCTCGTCGTTAGGCGGCGCCCTGTGACCCAGGCTTGGCCGGTGAGACATAAGGAACACCGGCTGGAAGCTTCGGGGAAAGGCTTTTCTTTGAAAGCTCACTGGAGAGAGGAGCATAGGCCTGCCCTTCCCCCGTCCTCCAGTCCTGATTGTGAACGCAACCGCTGAGGCTGCAGCAGTCTCCCTGCGATGAGGAGGGCCGGGATGGGAGAGAAAACACTGCCTCTGACGTAGCTGAGGCCCTGAGGACACAGCCTGATGTGTTTGTCATTGTTAACGGGATGCTGACTTCAAGTTCTGGCTCCTAGCTGTGCGAGCTGGCCATGGCTACTTTTGTCCTGTGCCTCATCTTCCTGCATGTAAAATGGCACCACCTCACAGAACTGTGAGGCACTGCCTGTCTGAAAACACACCTTTTCTGAGCCATGGAAACAGAAGGTTATTTGCTAAGAATGAAGTGGCAGGTGGTGCAGGCTAAGCCATGAGGACAGAGGTGTTGTGACAGTGAGAGCCGACAAGGGAGGTCCATGAGGACAAGCCCAGAGGACAGGTGAGCACAGAGTAGCAAACGCGAGGCTTCAAGGGCTCTTGTGGAACCTCTGGAGATGAGCAGTGAGGCTGGCTCCGAGCGTCCTGGAGGCCAGCTCTGCTGGGATGGAAACTCCACTGGCTGTGACATCCACAGCACCCAAAGAACAGAAATGGACACGAGAAAGTTCTGACAGGGTTCTGACCCTCAACCATCACGTCTCGGCAGTGAGAGCTCTGATGCTCAGTCATTTTGACAGAGGTCTTAGAACTGCCGTTGTGTCCTTCCACGATGATACTTTTTCCATTCAACTTGACGCTCTGCTAACCCAACATTCTGTGGGTATTTTTAGGAACAATTTCCACAAGCTGAGATGTGCCATAACCAATTTTCCTTCCTTCCAATTTTTTTTTTTTTTCTCTTGCGTTATGCGGGCCTCTCACTGTTGTGGCCTCTCCCATTTGCGGAGCACAGGCTCCGGACGCGCAGGCTCAGCGGCCATGGCTCACGGGCCCAGCCGCTCCGCGGCACGCGGGATCCTCCCGAAACGGGGCACGAACCCGCGTCTCCTGCATCGGCAGGCGGACTCTCAAGCACTGCGCCACCAGGGAAGCCCCCTTCCAATTTTTGATGTTTATGGTTTGCGTTTAACTTCACCAGAACTCAGCTGCAGTGGGAACAGCAAACAAACAAAAAAAGGCAACCATGCTGTATAACTGGAGCACAGGACATAGTGTCCTGGTGGGATGGGCATTTCGCTCTTTCATTGTAGGTTAGAAAGCAGGCAGGTTTAAATCCTTGGTTTTTACATCCTTTCTGCTATGAGATACCAAGGATCACATCTCGAACACCATATTCTTCTTTATGTCAAGAACAGCATAGACAAAGATCACAAGGTTTTGCTTTCCTGAGGAGTAAAGTTGGAGGAAAGCAAAAAGATGATCCAGACGAAGTTTCCAATTGTGGACATGAAAATGGTCATGTTAGAATGTTCTGCATTGTATACAAATAAGCCATTTTCTCAGACGTCTCTCTTTCCTGGGCATTGACAGCTGAAAAGTCTTCCGGAGGTCTTCCAGCAGAGACCCCAGCGAGATGGGGAGCCGTGCTTGAGATGGGGCAGACGAACTTTGAGAACAGAACAGTGAGTCACACCATTCACACAGCCTTTCAGCACAGCCTGGTGACTTGACGCCAAATCAAAAGTCACTCCACCAGGCCAAGGAGGCTCTGATGGGCAGGCTTGGGATGGGGACAAAATTTAGGTTATCCTGTTGTTTGTTTCCCCCAACATATAAAAGACTAAAAAAGAAAAAGAAAGGAGACCTATAGATTAAAAGAGACCTAAGAAAAATATTAAGCAAATGCACCATGTGATTTTTGTTTAGACCATGATTAGAACAAACCAAATGGAGAACAAAACAAAATCTAAGAGGCAACCAGGAACATCTGAACACTAGATACTTAATAATATATTGAGGAATTACTGTTATTTGTTTAGATGTGAAAATGGTAATATAGTTTTACTTGAGATTTAATGAAATTAGTCATTTTTCCTGCTTCATCCCAGACATTCTTAAATGAAACCAACATTTTTTTTTTCCTTTACTGAAATGCCGGGGAAGGTAGAATATGAACAACAAGCTCGGGACCACTTCCTTGATTCCCACTCAGGCTCTGGCAGTTTTACCCACTGTTGCTTTTGCACTATCAGTGCAAACATGAACTTGGTGAAAAAGGCAAATGATGGCTCAGAATGATTATGAAAATGGTTTCTGCCAGCGTGGGCTAACATGATTTTATATACATATTTAAAAGTCCATGCTTTTTAGAGATATCCAGAAAAATGGATGAAATGACAAGATTTCTGAGGCTGATGTAAAAATAATCCCGTGGCATGCAGGGGTACCAGTGAAAATGTATTATCCATGTTTTACATGGAATGTCCAAAATAAAATGCTAAAATTTAGATTACTCAGAAAAATAAGTGGATTCTTTTCCTTCATACCAACTACAAATGCTAAAAAAGTGAAAAAAAATTACTAAAAAACATGTTGTGCACATGCTCATGATATCACTTGTTAAAATCAAATATATAGGATTGTTAATACAGCCCTGATCAATCAATTTACAGAGTCTGGGGAAAATCGGCTCTTGTGCTGGGCATGGTTTCTCCACCTCAGGGCCATGTGATTCTTTGCTGAGAGGCTGTCTGGGGCTTTATAGGATGTTCAGCAGCATCCCTGGCCTCTCCTACTGTATGCCAGGGGCACCCCTCCCTTCCGCCAGTCATGACAACCAAAATTCGTCCAGACATCATCAAGTGTCTCCTGGGGAACAAAAGAACTCTGAGTGAGAACCTCCATCATAGGCCACACTGCTGTTCTAAGGCGATGGTTTCCAGCGGGAGCTGTGACACCCCCCAGGGAACACTAGAATTTCACGGGGGCTCCTCTGACATTTGATTTGGGCATGAGTGTGGCTGCCATGCATGCTCTAATAACTCTGAAGTACAGAACTGGCCCCCAGGGACCGTGTATGTATGTGTGAAACCACCTGTCTGTAATGCATGAATTGAGACCCTGGGTCGACTCCATGTACAAACCAATTAATTCCTGCAAGTTTAAATGTTATATATAAACCTTCCAGAAATGCACTGGCATTTTGTTTTGTTCAAACCTTTTCCGAGACTTAGTCACCACTTTGGGAAATCACACCCACACA